TCCTGTTTGGAGTAATATAATCTTCTAGGTTCCATGCTGTTGTTGGAACCCTCTCTATAGTTCTTACCCTTTCTTAGGGTAGCTCTGGAATTTTTGATTGTCCTTTAGTTGTCTCCAGAGCTGGAGAAGGACATGGTTGGGCTGGCGGTCAATCTTAGCAAATTGGACCCCAGCCCAAATTAAATCATTAAACATTTGTTTTCGGGATACCCTTATGGGTCCCGTTGGAGGAGCTCGAGTAGCCAGCATCTTGGTTTTACTTACCGGCAGGACCTCTGCTTCTTCCAACAGCCAAATACTGCACCTAGTCCGCAGGCGTTCTGTTTCTCCCAAGTTGGCAACTAACTGGGCAGCCTGCTGGACTACAACTTCTGAGGCCACAAGAGAATTTAATATGGATACTAGGGTACCATAGAGATGGGAGGGAGCTTGCTGTAAAATGACATCTCTCATCCCTGCTGAAAATTTAACCATATCAGGGCCATCAAAAGTGTCTTCATAGATAGCCTCTCTCACACCCAGTTCGCGGATATAATTTTGAAGGTCCTCCGTGGAAAACCACATGCTTGTATGCAAAGGTATGTCCGATTTATTTGGCCATACCATACGGCAGGCTGCCATTAACCATTCCAGTATAGAACGGTTTTCATCACGATACTGATTACCCAAGTATAACCTCTGTCTTAGAGCAGGATGGACAGTCACGGTGGCCAGCTTGGCTATTTCTGGGCCATTCACCAAGACCCTTTCAGCCCCAGAATCCCACAGTCTCAATGACTAAGCTGGCACACTTGCTCTAGGCTTCTGCCGAAATCGTTGTACTAAGTCCATCAATTCTGTCGCCGTGTATGGCCAAGCCATTATGTGTAAATGAGTCTGGGCAGGGGGCCCATTGATCAGACGGCACCCCTGCTGGTCTGTCCTGTACTTTTTCTGTTTTCCGGGTTACGACAGGACGGACTTCCCGTGGATCAGTGTCTCGCTCCAATTTTTAGGAGGGAGAGGAGGTTCTTTTATCATCTATATACCCGGCCTGAGATTAAGAAGCAACGGTTCAAATCTTGGTCCAACCAGTTTATTACAAATCTTAATCAGGGGAAAAGGGGAAGGGGAGGACGGACACTATTATGAATTAGGGTAACGGGGAAGGGAAGGAGGGCGATAGAAAAGAAGAAGCAAGGAGTCTTTATAGGCAGCAAGAGGGACATAGACACCACCATGGATCCAGCAAGGTTCATAGTTCAGTCTTTGATCTTCAGTAGCAGTGGGTCGTCAGGCAGAGTAGTTCGTTGACAAACGACAACGAAGCACGACGACGACCATGGCGATGATGGCCCCTTTTCAATAGTTTCAGAGTGGTGGAGTCAGCTGTCTTTGGAGTGACAGCTCAAATCCAAAGTGGTTGAGTCAGCTCTCCTTGGAGTGGCAGCTTCTGGCTCTGGGATCTCAGCAGAAACTCCTTTGTTCCCATCTTCTGGGCCTTGCCAGCAGATAAGAGGGAGCAGGGATGCCCATCTGCATCCTGTTTCTCACAGAACACGATGGTATCGTTCCCCAATTTTCCCCACAAGTAGCTAGAGCTGTTTAGTCACGGGCCAGACCTCCTGCCAGTAAACAGTCCTGAGCATTCTCATCCGCTCTTCTACAGAGCAAGCAGCTCTGGGGGAAGGGGCTTGCAAAATGTTCCCAAAGCAATATCCATTGTCACACGGTTAGCACCCATTAGTTGCCTCCTCAACAAAGCATTCAGAGTCTTATCACAAGAAATACCTCAGGAAGCAAGCTTTGAGCCAAAAAACAAAGAAGGATTTTCACAATCGGTCAGAATTGGATATTCAAGGTCTGATTTGGATTTGTTGTTTTCCTGATCAAACAAGTCTGTTGATTCAGGAGTCTGGTTATCGTCTATTGAAATGCTACAAATTTGGCCTACGGGAAGATGTAGAATTGGTTTCTTCCCTGTTAAAACACCAAGTTCGTGCCCCAGCTTTTCAATGCAGTCTTTCAAAAGCTGATTTTCAGTTTCTGAAGTATTATTTCTTATATCCGCATGATTTAATGCATTTAATAAAGGCCATACCACCACGGAGGCAGCCAGTTGTCTTTCTTTAGTTATGAGGACATCCTTGTGAAGTCCTTGAAAATAGTCTGCCATACAATATGGGGAGATATCGCCCATAATGCATAAGTGACCCCATTTTTCAATGGTAACTGCTCACTCTTAATAGGGAGATCCCTCAAATCCTGGGATCTCCCTGGAATTATTTTCTCTAGAGGAGTATTGTTTTTCCCCTTAACCCATTTAAAGAAATTCTCAAGAAAAGACTTGATGTTAATTTTAGTATATTCAGCCTGCCTAGCTTGTCAAGTGTATAATCAATGGATATCAACATATTACAATCACAATACAATCAAGAGAGTTAGACTAAGTGGACAATGATAACAAAAGAAAATAAATGGAAAGCTTACCCTTATGCTAGGCTTAACCACAAAACACCAGAAGAGGCCACCTCCAGAAGAGCTCCTTCCCCCCGGTAGCCAGCTCTTAAATAGGTCTAGGAGGGGTGGAGCCTGGCTCCCCTCCTTCTGACAGCACAGGTGAATTGCCTTCACCTGTGCTCCTCTGGCTGACTCATGGCTCGCCTCAGGTGATCAATCAGAGGTTCAGGCCGTGACTCAGCAGTTCCCATACAGTCACCGAGCTCAGGTGAAAGCAATTCACCTGTGTGACTGCAAGGGCTAGAGCCTGACTCTACCTCTCCTAGACCCCATTTAAGGGCTGACTGTAATTGAGGAAGGATTTTTTCTAGGAGATTGGTCTTTTTGGGGGGTGTTTCTGTATGCTCAGGACATGGGTGGGTATTTTTATTTCTGATTATTTCTTTCCCATATGATAGTTTTTCTAGCTTTGCAATTTATAGTTACCAGTCTAATCACACCACCATGTATGTTTGTTCATTATATTTTTATTTACAGGGGTGTTGTTTTTTCATACTTTCTTTAAAAGAGAGAAAAGAAGAAACAGGAAGTCATTTATTGTTTATTTTAAATGAAGCATAGAAAGGCTCATGCTTTACAAAGCCTTTTGTCTACCTCCTTTTTTATATTTGTTGAGAAGTTTTATTGCTTTCTTTAGGATACTTGTAGTCTCAAACCATGTCTTAAGTGTTGATGGGGAGAAAAAACAGAATGACAGTCTTCTACAGAAGTTTACTGTGGTCTAACAACTGTTATTTAGATGAGAAGGCTACTATGGAATATGTTAATAGTCCAATTGAAATAATTTTAGTTATTAGTTTTACATTTTCAGCGAAGAACTGAAAGGGTAAATAATTTCTGATGCTCTATACACACAATAAAGTGCATATTTCCATTTGTAAATTATTTCAGAGCTTCTACAAAATATTACATCTTATTTAGCTTGTACATTCTTAAAAAACTAACAAAATTAAGGCCAACGTAACTTCACACCTACAACTTAATTGTAACACAGCAAGTATTTGAATACATTGAGATAAGATTAAACTAGTAAACATTACAAGTTAATTAAGTTGGCTGTGGGTTCAAAACAATTAACCATAATTAAATACACCAAACATTAGACTATAGACTAACACTATATGCTACAATCATTCTGTTAGTAATATTTTGAGAGCTTTGGGTACCTGTTTTAGTTTTTTTAAGTACATAGCTTTTAATCCCAAACTTACTGTACCATGATCTAAAGTATAACAAAATAGTAGAGCAGCAAGGTTGTAGGCTACAGCAAGTGAGGATCTACTTAGATATAAGAGCAGTAGGCATAGAAATAAGAGAAAGAACCTGCTTACCTTTGGAAGGCCTGTATAGTTCTCAGATAGGCAGGGATCACCTGGTGATGTGCTTGCATCTTCACTACCTATCCTTAAATGAAGTTTGGTAAAGTTGGATCCTGGCTCCAAGGCAAGACTGGCAGTGTCTTGTACTGACCTTTTAAAAAAATCAAGTAATCATCCCTGAAAAAGCACACAAACAAGTTGATTTGTTCTTTATTAGTCATTTATTAATCAAGTCTTCTACCCTAGATTACTATTCAAGAACACTTTAGATTTTGTAGAATGAAAATGATGAGTATTTAAAAACAAGTACGAAGTTCTAAGAAAATATTTTAATGTTAGCACCATGAGAAACAAACTTGTAAGTCCTTACCTGCTAATACATCTTATTCTGTCACTTCTCTACTATCATCCCTGAGGGAGAAAAGGCATGATAGTTTTCAGCAGTTCTTTAGAAGAAACCTTGATTTGTATATTTTGTAATAAACAATCTCCAAGTTAACACACATTTAGTTAAAACAACTCTTTAGTTGTTATAGATGCCTTACATCAATATCCTATACAATTAACACAAGACCATTAGACTGCAAAAAAAACCCAAACAAACAAACAAAAAACAAAACAAAACAAAAAAACAACTGAATCCTGTAATCTTCAAACATCTATCAGTTGTTTTTGAGACACCCAATTCTTCTCTTCCAGAAGCCTACACACTCTAGCTGCCGATAGGAGCTATGCAGCCCCAGGCGTCTTTAAACTATGGCAAGAAAGTTAGCCCCGCCCCTTGGCGCTAGGGGACGAGCATAAGGCAGAATTTTCAGACACCATTTTTCTCCCCCAACTGAAATTGCTATCGCTGTTCTTTAATGCCCTCCTTTTCCACCGTTTTTGTTATTCTTATCACGGCTCCTGTGAGTCAATTAAAAAACAAACAAACAAAATTATCTAGGCACGCTGCAGCAGTGTGGAGTAAAGCATACTAATTTCCTCATGATATTCAGGCCTGGGACGTTGTGGTCTACACGGAGGGCGGGGCGAAGTGGAGGCCAGCCTCCGGCCTGATGGGCAGTTGTCTTACCCAATGGGGTCGCAGAGGGCCCTAACCGATGAGGGAGAGGCTCGTTTAGGCACTTAGTGGTGTTCTCCCCGTACGCGATGCGTGCAGGTAGGTGAGGCTGCGCGTAGTTGGCTGCACGCGTTTTTGGAGGATAGGAGCTTTTGAGCTAGGTATGGTTGTGTGTAGTGGGGTTGTGATCGCTCAGCTTTGCTGTGTGATGACATAATGATACGGGAGGCCTGAGCCGCTGCCGAGTCCTAGGATTTCTGTGGATAGCGGCAAGATAGTGCTTTTCTTTGCTGGTTTGGACATGGATTTAGGTAGGTCCGCATGAAGGAAGAAGCTGAGTAACGTGTCTTTAGTAAGTGTGGGGTGGTTTGGCGTAATTTGTGGCCCCCAAGGGCTCCAGTTATCCCGAGGAAAGGGCGAGAAGGGTGATCTGTGATTTCTACAGGCAACTGATGTGCCTCGGTGGCCATGTTGTAGGCGCCCAGAGCAATACTGTAATGCAGACCAGTAACACTAGTAGGTGTGCACTAAGGCTGGGGGAATGGCCGTCGCTTTTTTGCACATACTCTGTGTAGCTCTGTGCCTGGAACTAGCTGGGTATCATGGTGAGCAGATGGGAAGAGGAGGGAGTGCGCTCTCGTTTGCGGCTTGTAGGGAAATGGCTGTGTGAGGCCGGTTAAGAAACGCTCTGTGGCAGGATTGGTTTCCTTCGGGAGCGATCGCGGAGGTGGTGAAGCCTCTCGTGATGGGACCGTTGAATTCTGTCGGCCTTGGGGCGCTGGGTGACTCCTTTGTATCTCTGGGCAGAGCGGTTGAAATCTTGTGACCGCGTGGTTATGGTTTATCGGTCCTGGCTCCGCCTAGTAGCAAATAGGCGCCATTACAGTAGTCGCCATTTTTGCTGGTCCCGCGCCCCTGGTTCAAGGCTGCGGGGGTTTATGTTATGCCGCCTCTTCCCCTACTTACGAGCAAGTTGGGCTTCTGAGTGTTCTGTGGCAACGTGGTGTGAAAGGTAAAGGCGAACGTTGCCCCGAGCAGACAGTGAAATAGTCAATGGCGCGGTTTTGCGGTTGGACTGCAGAAGGGGAGGGGATGTCTGGGGAAGGCATTTTGTCCCGAAGGGAGTGGGAGTAAAGACACACGGGCGACCTCCGGCTTTTTTTTTTTTTTT